ACAATGAACTTCTATATACTTATCTCCCAGATTCAGTTATCAAGATTTTACCCCATTTGCTGAATCTATCACTTTTTTTCCCCAGAGTATTCTAAAGCAAATTCCACACATCATATCATTTCACTTGCAGACACTTTGTTAAGAATCTCTTTTAAAAAATCTATTTTGAAATATACATATTTATTTATATATGTAATATTTTAAAATATTTTTTAAATGTACTTTTTTTGCATAATCACAATGCCTTTTTAGCACTTAACAAAATTAGCAATAATCCCTTGGTATCCTTGGTATACCATTTAGTCCCCATAATCCTATTTCCCCAATCATCTCAAAAATGTCCTTTTTTTAGTTGATTTATTCAAATTTGGGTACAAATAAGGTTTACACATTATAATTCGTTGTTGTATCTCTTAAGTTTCTCGTAGAGAAATTTAGAGAATTCCCCCCCACACATGCACTCACACACTTTTCTCATGACATTGATTTGTTGCAAAAACTGTTAATTGTCCTATAGACTAGTCTACATTATGGATGTGTCAGTTTGCTTCCCTGCGGTGTCATTTAACTATTTCCTCTATCTTTTGTATTTCCTCTAAGTGGAGGTTACCTCTGGAAGCCCAATTAGATTCAGGTTCAACATTTTGGGCAGAAACACTTAACAGGGAATGCTCTAAAAGTTCTTGTACTTAAAATAAATCTTAATCTCAACATGCTGGAATTACGGTCCCGATTCAAGAAGATTTAATTAACCAGAATAAGTTTAAAAACACCGTTTTAGGTTGCAAGATTAACTCTCGAAGCACAGATTGAGGACAGCTGGATAAACACGCGGGGAAAAAGACCAGAAGGTTTTAACTGAACGCTGCAGGCGGCAGCAGCCACTGCAGAGGGTGAGAATACAGTGTCGGAGCTGGACAGATAGGTTTGAACTCTGGCTCTGCCTCTTACTGGCTGTGTGACTTCTGGCAAGTTAGTTAACTTCTCAGTTTCCTCACTGATTATAATAATATTATAGCCAGTGCTCAACAAATATTGACAGCTAGTATTTTTATTATCTCTAAGTATGGGAAATACCATGCTAGAAAAACTCTTGCAACGTGCACAAGTCAGGTACAAAGATATTCATCACAGCAAACTTTGCAATACACAAAAATAGGACAAAAATTTAAATGTTCATAAATTGAGGAGGGGATAAATATAATGTGACATATTCATATAATAGAATCCTATGCAGTAGTTACAAGAACTAGGTCTCTGTGTATTAATTTGGATGAATTTCAAAAACAGAATGTTGAGTGAGCAATCAAGCTTACAGAATGACACCTTCAGGATGATACTATTTATGGAAAAGACACATATGTACAAAAATCAACACTAGAAATTTTACACAGGAACATGTATGTAGGTAATGGATATTTTTTGTACTTGACTTTTGAAGTATTAAATAATTGTGGATAAACAGGAAGTTGCAAAAAGAATAGTATAAAGAGGTCCTATGGATCCTCGATCCAGTTTCCACCAGTGATAATATGTAAGTAGAGTTCAATATCAGAACCAGGAAAGTGACTGATGCAGTCTGCAACCTTATTCAGATAGCACCAGTTTGGGGGTTTTTTTGGTGAGGAACGTTCGCCCTCAGCTAACATCTGCGCCAGTCTTCCTCTATTTTATCTCTGGATGGCTGCCACAGCATGGCTTGATGAGTGATGTAGGTCCATGCCCAGGATGTGAACCCATGAGCCTGGGCCACTGAAGCGGAGCATGCCAAACTTAACCAGCACACCACCAGGCTGGCCCCCTAGATCTCACCGGTTTTCGGTGTTTTTTTTAAAAATGTTTTTTGGTAGGAAGAGTGGCTCTGAGCTAACATCTGTTGCCAATCAACCTCTTTTTTTTTTTTCTCTCCAAAGCCCCAGTTCGTAGTTGTATATCCTAGTTGTAAGTCATTCTAGTTCTATGTGGGATGCCACCACAGCATGGCCTGACGAGCAGTGTGTAGGTCTGTGCCCAGGACCAAAACAGATGAACTCTTGGCTGCTGAAGCAGAGTGTGCAGACTTAACCACTTGGTCACTGGGCTGGCCTCCTCACCAGATTTATGTGTACTCATTTGTGTGTGTGTGTGTGTACTTCTATGCAGTTTCATCACATATGCAGATTTATGTAACCACCACCACAATCCAGATATGGAACTGATTGATCATCACAAACTCTCATGCTAGAATCATACCCATCCTGCTCCCCTACCCCATCCCTGACACCTGGCAACCTCTGATCCATTCTCTACCTCTATAATTTTGACATTTCTAGAATGTTATATAAATGAAATTAAACAGTATATAACCCTTTAAAAATTTTTTTTCACTCAGCATAATTCTCTTGAGATCCATTCAAGTTGTTGTTGAGTATATGGAAAGTTTGTTTCTTTTTGTTGCTGTGTAGTGTTCTACTGTATGGATATACCACACTTTGTTCAGCCATTCACTCACTGAAGGACTTTTGGGTTGTTTCTAGTTTTTAGCCCAAAATAAAACTGCTGTGAACATTTCAGTGTAGGTTTCTGCGTGAATGTATATTTTCATTGCCCTGGAGTAAATGCTCAAGTGTATGACTGTTGGATTGTATGGTAAGTGTATATTTAGTTTTATAGGAAATTGGCAGACCATTTTCCAGACCGAGTGCATCATTTTATGTTCTGACCATCAGTGTATGAGAGATCCAGTTTCTGCATCCTTCCCAGCATTTGGTGCTGTCACTATTTTTTATTTAATCATTCTAATATTCTAATTGGTGTGTATCCATATCTAATTGTGGTTTTAATTTGCATTTCCATAATGACTAATGATGTGGAATATCTTTTCTTGTGTATCTAATGGATATTTTTTTCTTTTTAAGATTGGCACCTGAGCTAACAACTGTTGTCAATCTTTTTTTTTTATTCTTTTCCCCAGAGGCCCCCAGTCTATAGTTGTATATTCTAGTTGTGGGTCCTTCTGCTTGTGCTATGTGGGATGCCGCCTCAGCATGGCTTAGATGAGCGGTGCCATGTCTGCATCCAGGATCCAAACTGGTGAAACCCTAGGTCTCCGGAGCAGAGTGCGCGAACTTAACCGCTCGGCCACAGGGCTGGCCCCTCTAATGGATATTGCTGAAATGATCTTTAAGGATCCACCAAAATGTAAAGTAATATTACTTCTGGGGAAGGTGAGAGGGAACTTGGAAGAATTATGAGCATAAAAAGGGACATGAAGTACATCTGCAATGCTCTGTATTTTAAAATAAGAATGAATTCGTGTGTTATTTATGTAATTAACTATTAATTAAAACCAAAAAGAAACACAGAATAAAAAAAGAGTATTTTATCATAGAAAAAACTCAGACTTCGAATCACACAGACTTGGTTTGAAGTCTGACGTTCCTACCAGCTGTGGGACTTTAGGTAGGTGACTTTAACCTCTCTTAGTCTCAGTTCTCTTACCTGTAAAACAGTGATAATAGCACTCACCCCATAGGATTATTGTCAGATGGTAGTTAAATTAGATAATACATTGAAAGGGCTTAGTATAGTGTGGTAGAACAGAGTTGCTCAATGAATAGTAGCTCCTGTCCCTACTAAGAATGAGACTTTATTATTTTCTTTAGTGTTTATTTAGACCATTGACTCATCTTAATCTCCAGTAAATGGACTAGTATTCATTTGCAGGAATAGTGTCGTGCTGTAACATGCTTTGTGATCTCATTCCATGCTTGCTAAATGAGTAATAGATGACACTTTCAAGCTGTACAAAGTTGACACTAGCAAGTCTCTAGTAAACTCTTTTCCTTGAGGTCCTCAAAATTTATTAAAATATCTGTAATGCTGGGGCCGGTCCCGTGGCCGGGTAGTTAAGTTCGCGCACTCCACCTCGGCAGCCCAGGGTTTTGCTGGTTCGAACCTGGGCACGGACATGGCATCGCTCATCTGGCCAGGCGGAGGCAGCGTCCCACATGCCACAACTAGAACCCACAACTAAAAATACACAACTATGTACTGGGGAGCTTTGGAGAAAAAGGAAAAACAAAACATCTTAAAATATCTGTAATGCTTAACAAAGCCTTTTTCTACATCAATATGATCGTCAGACCAAATTAACAATGGAAAGTGTTCCCTTCCTATAAACCAAGCAGTAAAGAGCAATCATTTATTCTTAAGAATGCCCAAACAGGTTGGAACAGGACTCTGCTTCTCTGTGATGACTTCACATTCCAAGATAAAATCTCATCCAGATATTCAAAATGAAATCCAAGTCCTCTGCAGTGTGTGGTCAGTGAGGGTATCATGTTACCAAAATTATATGTCTGGCCTCCAACATGAGTTAGGCCACCTTAATGTACTCAGGTTTCTCCACCATTGGAGATGACCAGTCTATGGTCAATGACAACATTCTTTTAGGCGCCAACACATTGCTTTTATAATATACAGTGGGAATTCAACTCAAGTATAATGTATCAATAATCCATGTTTACCTGAACAAATATAAAGAAATGAGCACATTTCTAGAAATGTTAACGCAGGTCATGGGGGTGAAAGTGGTGAATCTTCTTCTGATAATTAAGGAGAAAAAGGAAACAAGGGAAGGGGAAAAAGGGAGGAACAAGTATTTGAGGTGAGAATATCTGATCATCTTAACGCTCACCCTAGTTAGAACATCCCCAGGGGAAAAACAAAAGGGAACACGAAGTTCAAGGTCGTAACTGTGATTTGTAAAATAATAACACCTTTTTAAAGTTAAAAGAGTAATGCATTTATTAGGGGCAAAAACCAAACAGAATAGTATAAAATGAGAAAATTTTTTAAAGTCTGGCCAGGATCACAAAACTAAGTCTTCCTAAAGTGAAGACTAGAACCCAGGTCTTGTAATTCATGGTTCAGTGCTCTTTCTGCTAGATTTGTTATTCCATGATATAACTATATTCATTATTCCATCGTCTAACTTCTCTGCACCTCAGGCTACTTACCTTTAAAATAAGGGGGTTATAACAAATCTGAAGGTAGTCATGGGCATCAGAGGGCTATCTTCCATATTCTGCAAAAGAACAGTGATACTGTTATTTCATAATAGTGATACTGATTATCTCAGGGTGTGCCATGACGGCTGCTGGAGCACACCTTAGACAGTCACTCACGTGCTGAGCACGTAGAGTATGTGCTCTGCCTCGCAACAGTTCAGAGCAACAGCCGTAATTCGCATCAACGTGTCCTCAATGGGATCCTCGTGCTGAAAAGATTGGAAACCAGTGGACTAGATGGCTGTGTTGTTTTAGCAGTGGCAGAAAGAGAGTTAAGTCCCCGCTCACTCCTCTTGCTATCTGTAACTTATCTGAACAGCCATAACCAGCAGATGAGTCAGAGTTGGAAGAGGGTTCATGGCTTCATCTAGGAGTTACAGGTAAAGATCTCAGCTGGACTCATAAAGACCACAACGCAGATAAGAAGTAATCCCGGGAAGGCAGGAGAAACAGACCTTAGGCCTCCAGGCCAATGGAAGAGGCAGGGCCTGTGCCTAATCTTAGGTTCCACCTCTATTTTCTTAAACTCACATACTTTTATTTTAGACTTGTTTGTTAAGCTTCCAGGCCTGAAACAGCTTGTGACAAAAGCTCATGCTGTTCCACCCGCTGCCGTTGGGAGATTTGGCCATGAACATATCCCTTTTTAATCTTTCTTTAGAGGTTTAAATTTGCCACTGCCCCCGCAAGCCTTGTGTTTCTTCTCTTCAATAGCAAATTATTAATATCAGGTTTTGATCACAAAGTTGAGATGACAGAGTATCTTATTTAGGTTACAGATATATAAATCCTGAATTTAATGAAATGTTTATTTTATCTAGGTAATCTGAATGATTCTTAAATTGAAACTTTTTCTGTTCTGATCATTTACTTTTCTTTCAGTGATGACAGATCACTTGGAAGTCAGAAGCTTATATTTTCGTGTCAGGCACACTTTTTCCACCTAAATCATGTGAAAAGAGAAACTCAAACCTACTTGGTTAAAAAAACTATTTAGGGGAGCTGGACCCTTATTAAAAAGTCATCTATTAATAGTCAAATTCTGAGAGCAATGACAGCCTCAGGCAACAACATGAATGAATGACTCTTGCAAACATGTTGAGTAAAAGAAATGAAACAACAGAATATATACTGTAATGATTCCATTTCTATAAAGTCAAAAATAGGCAAAATTAATCCATGTTGTTAGAAGCTGGGTAATATTTTCCTCTTGAGTGGAGAGGTCGGGCAGCGACTGAGAGGAGGTGTGGGGATCCTCTGGGGTGCTTGTAATAGTCTAATTCTTGACCTGGGTGTGGTTACATAGCTGTATTCACTTAGTGATGATGTCTTGAGCTATAAAAGTATCATTTGTGCACTCTTCTTCATGTGCATTATACCTCAACAAAATTTATTTTGAATTCTATGCACTTTTTAAACATTAATTTTTAACATCATGGGAAATATATCAAAACATTCCTCCTATTAAAAAAAAGGAATATTTTAGTTGAAGTAAGTCCTTTTTGATCCCCTTCAAATCTTGTATTCTCCCAAAACGGTATCAGTTTATCCTTTTTACATATATTTACATACCTAAGTAAAGACATATAGAAAATATAGTATCATTGTGAGTGTATATTTTAATTTTAAGCTCTGTGCTTTTTAAAAAACTATCTGGATTAATAGACTTTGCGTTGTTTCTTTCAATAATACAGGATATCGGCAAGATCTATCACCAAGAAACCTCTAATAATCTTCACTAAAATGATATATCATTATATAATAGGCCCTATAGATCTAAGCTTTATCATATATATTATGTTGGATATATGTTTACTTTTATATATGTTATATATGTGATATACATTTTATTATAGTGCAGATCTATTATGAAACTTACAATAAAAAATAAAATAAAACAGTTATTATTACCTGTTGATTAGCAAGCCTCAAAGACAGAAAATTAAACTTGTAAATGGAAACCTATAAAAATCAACGGTATGTTGTTGATGTCAGTATCATGGTGGAGTGACTTGTTCCCTTTGTCTCTCCCCTCTAAGTTACAAGCAGCAAGACATCCATCAACCAACAAAGGACTCCCTGCACAGCACACCAGAGCACCCGAGAGATCCAGACATCTATACATCTGAAAGTGGGTAGATTGAAACTCTGGGAGGCAGTGAAATTAGGGGATAAGCCCCATCCCCCTCCCTCAGTGGCGGTGATCCAAATAGTGGATACCCTAGGCAGTGGTGGTGGTACCCTGACCTAAGGCTTCAAAAAGTTGTGCTAGGGGTTGGCCCCGTGGCCGAGTAGTCAAGTTTGCACGCTCTGCTTCAGTGGCCCAGGGTTTCACTGGTTCAAATCCTGGGCATGGACACGGCACCGCTCATCAAGCCACGATGAGGCGGCATCCCACATGCCACAACTAGAAGGACCAACAAGGAAAAATTCACAACTATGTACCAGGGGGCTTTGGGGAGAAAAAGAAAAAATAAAATCTTAAAAAAAAAAAATTTCACTAGTGTTAGAGACAAGAGGATGCAGGAGCAGAGGCATTCATGGCTTAGCCTCTGCCCCTCCCCCAGCAGTGATGGGAGGCACCTGCAACCTGATGCTTCAGGAAACACAGCAGTACCCATGACCCAGCCCCTAATGGTGGCATTCCCGACACCAGCCCTACCAGCAAAGGGGGTTGCATACAAGATGCCAGGCCCCTGGCAGTGGCAGCAACACTTGTGAACCCAGTGCCCCCAGCAGTGGTGTTGCCAGCACCCCCAGATAACCCAGGAGCAGCAGTGCTGGTGGTACACATGGCAGCAGCACCTGAGTCTGTGGAGACCCAGTGGGGGAACATGAGTCCAAGCAAACCCAGAAGCAGCAGAGTGTTTGCAGCCTGGTGACCCCAGTGGTGACACTCATGACTGCAGCAACATTGTAAGCAGCAAGGCACCAGCAACCTGAGAGACACACTGCAGCACAAGGAGGGCACTAACAATGCTTCTGGCAGAGGCAGTGGAGGGCAGAAAGTGCAGCTCTCAAATACAACCAGAAGAAGCTCAGAATCAAAGTAACCAAAGCCTTACCCAAATATGAAAGATGTTTACTACCACAAATGTCCTGGCAAAAGATCAACTCCTCCAGCACCATGAAGAATGACACTAACACAGTAGAGCAGAAAGAAAATGACAACTCTCCAGAAACCAAACTTGAAGTCACAGAAGATTGTGATTTAGCTGACAGAGAATTCAAAATGCCTGTCATGAAGAAACTCAGTGAGGGTCTGATCCCATGACCTAGTAATTAAGTTTGGTGCACTCTGCTTCAGCAGCCCAGGTTCAGTACCTGGGTGTGGACCTACACCACTCATCAGCAGCCATGCTGTGGTGGCGACTCACATACAAAATGAAAGATTGGCACAGATGTTAGCCCGGTGGGGGGGGGGGTCCTCCTCAGGGGGAAAAAAAGAAAAGAAACTCAGTGAGTTACAAGAAAATTCAGAAAGACAGTTCAATGAGCTCAGGAATAAAATGAATACACAGAAGGAATATTTTACCAAAGACATTGAAACTCTAAAAAAGAAAAAAAAAACAAACAGAAATTCTGGAGATGAAGAACATAATTAATGAGATGAAAAATAAAGTAGAAAGCATTGGAAATAGACCAGACTATATGGAAAAGAGAATTAGCAAACTTGAAGATCGACATCTAGAAATGATTCAGATGGAAGAGGAGAGAGAAATAAGATTTTTTAAAAATGAAGAAATTCTACAAGAAATATCTGAATCATTTAGGAAAAGCAACATAAAGATAATGGGTGTCCAAGAAGGAGAAGCGAGGGAGAAAGGAGCAGAGAGCTTATTTAAAGAAATACTAGCTGAAAACTTCCCAAACCTGGGGAAGGAACTGGATATACAAGTATATGAAACTAATACAACTCCTAATTCTCTCAACGCAAAAAGACCTTGTCCAAGACACGTTATACTAAAACTGTCAAAACTCAATGACAAAGAAAGAATATTAAGGGCAATCAGAGAGAAAACAACTTACAAAGAAACCCCCATCAGGCTATCAGTGGATTTCTCAGCAGAATCTCAACAGGCTAAGAGAGAATGGAATGATATATTCAAAATATTGAAAGACAAATAGTATCAACTAAGAATACTTTATCTAGCAAAGTTATCCTTCAGATATGAAGGAGAAATAAAGGCTTTCCCAGACAAACAAAAGCTGAGGGAGTTCATTGCCACTAGACCTTCCTTACAAGAAATGTTGAAGGGTGCTCTCCTTCAACAAAAAAGCAAAGGTATACAAAGCTTTGAGCAAGGCGATAACAAGACAGACAGAATCAGAAAATTGCAACTCTATATTAGAATACATTAGTAAACACTTAATGGTAACACAAAGCTTAAACAGAAAGAAAGAATAAAAAATAACTGTAACCACTTCAATTTGATAACAAGCTCACAATACAAAAAAGGATAATTTGTGACAACAAAAGCATAGAAAGACAAGAGGAGAAGGATGGAACCTGTGTAGCCTAATAAGATAAGATGCTATCAGCAGAAAAAGAGCTATCTCACTTATAAGATCTTTTATACAAACCTCATGGTAAGCACAAAACAAAAAAATCAGAGCAGAGTCACAAAACAAAACACAAAAGAGGAGACTAGAGTAACGTCAGCATCGTGGCAGAGTGAGCTCTTCCCTTAATCTCTCCCCCTTAAGATACAACAAAAAGGACATTCATAAACCAACAGAGGACATCCACACAAAACAATAGACATCTGAGAGATCCACACAGCCATACATCTGAAGGTGGGGGTGCTCAACCCCCCCAGGAGGCAGTGGAAGGAGGTAAGGGGATTTCCTCTCCCTCCTGTGCAGCAGTGACCCAAGGGTGAGACCTTGCAGCAGCTGGTGCACAGCCATGAAAGGAGAAGGAAGAGAAGGCAGCCTTCCGCAGGAATGCTTGTGCTCTCAGAGTTACCGCCCAGCCTGTGGGAACACCCCACACTGAGGCAGCTAAGCAGTCATG